TTCGAGATTCCCGCAGGCGCTTTCTTTCATCGATCAGCTTCTGCGTCACAGCATCCCTTTCCGCTTGAAGCTCAGCCTTCTCCTGCTCCAGCGCAGCGTTGGCCTTCTCAAGACTCGCTTTCTCCCGCGCAAGCAACTTCTTCGCAGCACGGTCGGCTTTGAGTATTTTCTCGAAGCCTGCAAACTTCTCACGGAGGATCTCTTTCTCCTTCTTGTTTTCGGCCTTGATCTGCTCGATACTGCCGAGTCTTGTGCGGGCAAGTTTTTCCGCGTTTCCGAGAAGAACCATCGTCTGCCTCAAAGTCCTGTTGTACTTCTCGACGAGTACGTTCATACTCCCATCGGCCTGAAAGCAAACCAACAAACGTAAAGACATTGGTTTCGAAAAAGGGATAAAGATGCAAGCATCAATCGGAGTACATACCCGTCTGTTTTGAAGAGCAGCTTCCGTGTATTCATCTTTAAAGAAAAGATCTCCAACCGGAGGCATCTCAACCGGTCCGCCTCGGATCTGACGAGTAAGCTCCGCGCATCGGCCTGGTTTATGAATCAAAGGAGTCCTTTCATCGTACGAGAAGTTCACGCGATCCGCGAACTCAACTCGAGGTCTCTTGCCAAGCGAACCTTCCGATAGGCTCATCCGAGAGGGAGACTTCCTCTTCTGAGGGATATCGGTTGGAGAAGGATCAACCGACCGTTTGTGCACTTCAGTCTCATCATCATCAGCATTCATCGTCCCCTTAGTGTCTGCAGGACAAGATTTGGGACTTAGAGATCGCGAGACCCCCTTAGCCACTTTCCTCCTCTTTTTCTTCGGACTTTCCTCCGAACCTTTTTCTTCAGGATCGCCATCGACAGAATTGTCACGCGATCCTTTTTCCTTCTCTTTCTCCCCTACCTCCAGACCATCCGAACGCCCTGCTGAAGGATTAGCCTCGGTCGATGATCTTACTTCCTTCATCACGGGGCTCTTCCGCTTTTTCTTCTTCTTCTTCTTCGCTTCAGAAACCGGCGGATCGACTTCGGCAAACTGATCAGCTGGGTTTGGATCGGGCTGCTGAGAAACTTCAGCATCGTTATCCCCAGCCGTTACGACCCTAGAAGTCGTCTTCTTCAGCATTTGGAGTTTCCCCTTGAGTAGAGCACTTAAATCTGGTCTTCCCGACATCTCTCTCGCTTGCTTCAGTAGCTTCTGTTGTTTCCTGGTAAACAAGGATAAGCGAGACTTGCGTGCCGAGACTATCAGCGGCTGTCTTGATTCCCAATCAACTGCGAAAACAGAAAGAAGAAAGATAACCGTTATCTGTCAGCCAGAACCTAAAGTTGGATAAAAAAAATTATTATTATTACCTCTCTCTATGCGAGCCTATTGTCGACGAATCCACTCACGACTCAGATCCGGCCAATTCAGATGGCTTTGGGTCGCAATGGCCTGTGCGATCTCGAAGAAATTTTCTGGGTACGCGATTGTATTCAGATGACGACCTGCAAAAATAAAAGGCAAGGTTAGACAACCGACGAACATAGCAGACAACACGGTGCTCGTTTTCTACCAATTTATTTGTTCCACAACACCGGGAAGTCGTCTTCAATGGCTTCCGCAAACGCGTATTTATCGGCTTTGACATAGAAGTAGGAACGCTGCCAGTTCGTTGTTTTGCGGGGCTGACCAGTCAAGACATTGTAACTAGGACGCATCTTCACAGAGAACAAGCCCCCTTTTTCCGCCTTCGTAGAAGTCAACTCTTCGAATACTCTAACACTCATGGGAATGTCTATCTCCGCATCCATCACCATCAGCATAACAGCGTTCCGAATCGAGCCTATCTTCAGCTGGCTGATCGCTACTCCCCGCCTCCTCGCATACGCTGAGATCAAACGTGGAATTGGAAACCAAAGCTTCGAATCATCCTCGAAGTATGACTCATATAGACATTGGAAGCCTGCTGGAGGGGACCAAGGCCTCTGCTCTTGGGAAGGAATCACGTAAGTCACACCCGCTCCTCTGGCGTGTTCCAGAATGCTTGTCACGGTTCCGTGGCTAGATCGGGTCCCGAAAACATTCTCCCAACGTTGGCCTTCAGCCCAAGGATCTCGCAACGACTCCGGAGGAAGAGCGTTTAACTCTTCGAAGGTGCCATCGAGACGATAAATTGACGGCTTGCACTCAATCAAATCAAACCTAGCGATTTGATGTCTTAACCACAAAGTTCGAGGGCTCTGATCCGGAGACGCTAAGTCCTCAACCCCTTCATCGGAGCCGGAACCTTCGGCACCCTCCTGATCGGACTCGCTACCCGAGCGACTAGAATTGCCCTCCTCACTCTCTTTCTCGGCGGCTAAATCACCCTCCTCTCGCTCAGACCCGCTACCCGAGCGCTAGAGTCGCCTTCCTCACTCTCTAATTCCGCGGCTGAATCTTTATGCGGCTCGAGCCTCTCCCCTCGCAAAGCGTCGCGATGAATCAGGTTAAAGTCTTCTATTGGACTTCCATTCGCTGTAACATCATCGGTCTGACCCGTCGCACAGGCAATCCCTTTGCCTTTTTCCTCACGCGATAATCGCCCCGAAGAAGCCATAACCCAAAAATGGAAATCACAAGGCAAGAGGTCGAAGAACACCTAGAGAGAGAAAGCTAAAAGATAGAGAGAAGGGAGAGAAGAAAATACCTGAACTTGCAGAGAAGAATAATGAAAGAAGGAGAGACTCTACCTATTTATAGCAAAGTCCTAAGGCACGATTCTCTAAGTGCAATTAATGCACTTAAACGGGCCTAAATAAGCCCATCAACTGTAGAAACACAGAAGATTATTCGAGATCTATTAACCCTTCACCTAATTCGGTTTGGTTGGCCCTTAAAACCGGTTTACTTGAACCGAAATTAAACCGGAGCTAAATCGAGAAGCAATTGAGATTAAACCAGAAGGCGGTTAGAAGCTAAACGTGCATCTCAACTGGTCGTCTAGATCGACTAAGTCGAAAAACGATCAGCTCGGTTGATCCACTCAAGCAAAGCGTTACTCCACAAGCAACGACTTAGTCACGCTACTAGATGAGCTCAATAAGACGCCTTCACGCGCTCAAACGTGACGTCTTAGCCGCGCGACTAGGTGCGCTCGAGATGATCGCCTAACTGCACTCCCACAATCGACGACTTAGTCGTGTTACTAGACGAGCACAAGGTGACGCCTTTACGCGACAATAGGTGACATCCTAGCCGCGAGACTAGACGCGCTCGAGGTGTCGCCTAAACAAGCTCTCACAGGTGACATCCTAGCCGCGAGACTAGACACGCTCGAGGTGTCGCCTAAACACGCCCTCACAGGCATCGACTCAGTCGTGCTACTAAACAAGCTCAAGATGACGCCTTTACGCGACAATAGAAGACATCCTAGTCGCGAGACTAGATGCGCCCGAGGTGATCGCCTAAACACGCTCTCATAGGTGACATCCTAGCCGCGAAACTAGACACGCTCGAGGTGTCGCCTAAACACGCTTTCACAGACATCGACTCAGTCGTGCTACCAGACGAGCTCAAGGTGACGCTTGAACGTGCTCGTGGTTGACGTCCTAGCCGCGAGACTAGACACGCTCGAGATGGCGCCTAAACGTGCATCCATGCTAGATTCCCCATTTGATCAAACCTGACCCACAAATTCACTTAGAGTCCTATGAACTCACAAGTGAACTTGAGGGGGACTTATTGTAGGAGATGGGTTATATCCCTTCACAAGGCCCATCAAATGGAGAAACTTAGCCCAACACGACAATATACTCGGCCCACCAGATAACATCAAAACGACTCAGCATGAGACGCGTTTAGTAGTGCGACTAAGAGTATTCTAGAAGAGTCGGCGGAAATACGACTTACCCAGACGACTAAACGGGCCTAACAAGAATAAAGCCCAACAAGGCTCAGGTAAACTAAGGCGAACACGAAGATAGAGTCTATAAAAGGAGAGAGGCAGCAAAGGGAAAAGAGATCCGGAATGGGACATACTCACTTGGCGACTAGATCTAGGGTTTCTTAGCGACTAGGTGGTTAGATCTAGGGTTTACTCACCTTCACCATTACTCACCATCCTGTATTTCCAGTTAGTTCGCCTCTTTACTCTTCTCCTTGTAACTCTTGTTCAGATCTAGTAAAAACGTTTTTGTTCGCCCTAATCTCTCTCTTTATATTGTACTTAACCATTTTCACCTCAAACAATGACGAACCACTTACTGTGTTCACCAAACTTCAATACTCCTCCTATCTTTCAGACAGGCTCTTTGGATTTAATTTAAATTTACATGAGTTGGAAAAAATACAATTATACAAAAGATTTAAGAAAACAAATCAAAGGTCGGCGATGAGAATTTAATAGACAACGCACGTGGTTGGGGAGAAGAACACAAAACAATGTCAGAATGTTTTGCTACGTTCATAGAATCCGAGGAAGCCACCATATGAACATAGTAAACAAAGAAACATATCACCACGTCACAGCATGCACCATTCCATACTGGTTTTTCTGCCACATAGCATTATTGAAAGCTGATACTTTATCTTGCATGTGGTCTATTGTTTAACCGCCAAATCGTTTATATTTTTTCACGATCATTTTTTTACTATAAAAGAAGGTACATAAATTATTTTTTTTACAAACTTAAAACATACAAATAAGCTTTCTATTACTTACTTTTAGTTCTAGATAATAATCAAATATTCACTTATGTATTGTCCTGAAAAATAGAAGTGAAAATCACACCTTTTTAAAAATAAAAAATCTGTTTTGTGTAACAACTTTGAGATATTGGAGGAAATAGATAATTACAGTTCAACTTGAAGTTTTGAATTTTTTCTTCTTAAAATATCTCTATTTTACCCTAGTTTATTGAAAGCCTGTATTTCTAGTTCCTATATTCACTTCTTATGTTTTCTTTATTCCCAACATCCACTGTTTTCTCTCTACCCTCCCATTGTTCTTGGGTCTACAGGATTTCATAATACTAGTGACATGGCATTGATGAAGAAGAGATTAGGTGCAGTGAAATCATCATCAAACAAAAATCAATTAGTAGTTGGTGATGGTGGACTAGGGTTAGGATTAAACTGTGATAAGTACAAGAAAGGATGTGGGAAAAAGAGGGGGTTGATTTCTGGTGGCAAGAATCGAGAGCTTGAAGCCCTTCCTCAAGATATTCTGGTTTGTCTCTTTTTAAACCAATCTCACAAACTTGTTTTAATAGGTTTTCTATTATTTCTTATCTCTAAGAAATAAATCAATATCGAAAGTGGAAAGTCTTCAGTTTTCCCTGTGAAAAGAAGTTATTGGGTGAGATTTCAATTACTGAAAAATTTCATTGGTTTATTTGCAGATAAGGATTATATGTAGAGTGGAGCATGGAGATTTAAAACAGCTGTTTAACGTGTCAAAGACTATAAGAGAAGCTGTGAGTAGATAGCATCATTTTCTACAGACTCTTCTGAAATCTTGTGACAGAAGAAAGTTATTCTGATAATTTGTTTCTTCTTGCAGACATTGGTTGCGAAAAAATGGCATTTTGAATACAGCACACCAAGGAAAACTCTGTTTTTCCGGGATGAGCTTGATCATTTGGGAGATGAGATTGAAGTTCCATTGAAGAAAAAATACCGGCTTTCCAGGATATCCTGCGAAAGGAAAACTTCTAAAATCTCAGTGGCTCTTTTCAAATGAATATCTGACCACTTGGATTTGATACCACGTGCAATCACACGATCCGGTTTCTTCAAGAGCTTTAGTTGAAGAACTGGTTGAGTTAAGAGACTTCTTTAGTTTTCTTCTTGGTAGTTTTTGTGTGGTAGGTCTATTTAAATTGTTGTTAGATAGAGATGATAGGTCTATTGAAATGCTAGTTTGGCACTTAATGTATATAAAAATATAGTCATATGTCAGTTCATTTCCTAGAGGATAAGGTGAACCTGTTATAGAATTTGGGCCTAGGCCTTGTTTATCCTTTTGGTAAAATTATTTTATCCAGCATACTGAATTATGAGTTTGGGCTGATTGCTGGAAAGTGGAAACGCCTTATAATCCATTTTATGATGCATGTTTAAATATTTTGCATACACAAATTTCTCTACAGTCAACTCTGTTTTTGAATGTTAGTAATATGACTAATCGAGTACTAACTGTTCAAAATGAAGAATCCTTACATAATCCTAAATACCAATTCTGTGTTTTCCTAATTATCGTTGGATAAAATAATGTATTCGGTTGCATGTGACAATTATATCTGGAAAGTATTCTAATATACCCCAGTTGGAAAATAACTATTCTAACTACCCCACCATTTTTCTCAATGCCCCCACTTTTTTTTTTTGTTCGTAGTAGTTTCTAGTAATTCAAGGTAGTTTGTTTTTTGTTCATAGTAGTTTTCTAGTAATTTAAAGTAGTTTCTAGTAATTCATAGTAATTCAAGGTAGTTTCTAGTAATTCATATTGCACATAATATTGATTCATTCAGGGTTGTTAATTTTTTAACCATACTTAGACTTTGAGCAAAAAAAAAAAAATCAAATTTAAGATGGGTTAAAATAGAATGAAGATGGTAGTGAGTGGGGCAATGTAGAATTTAGTCCATTATATCTTGCCCTGGCTTAAAAAAAGCAAATTAGAAGACAACCGAATATATAAAAGAATCAGAACAACAAAAAGAGAACAAGTTTTCCAGGTTAATTATTATTATATCGAAGTGAGTACTAAATTTTCTTACTGTCTAATTATTTTGTCCTTAGCGGTTCATTATTGATTTTTTGGTCAGTCTTCAATCGTTCATTGTCACTTGGTCTAATTATGTGTGACAACAAGTCAGAACTAGTTATTACTGGTTAGTACCACATTTTCCAACTGTTTTTCTTTGATTGCGTATATTGCATCTGTGTGTGACGTACGCATTATCTTTCCCTTATCATAATAATACTAAGATTTTCTTCTAAAATAATTAGTAGAATTGTGAATAAAAGTCAATGGAAGGAGAGACCAGCTATGTCTTGCTGTTAAATTGCTTTGATGGCACCATTAGTTTCAGCCGTTCGGCACGCATGAACATGATTCCTCCGTCAACGCTCTTATATTTAATTTTGATACAATTCTAAGGGAAATTGGACTGTATACCATTGGACACAAGCAAAATTTACTGAGACAAAAAAAAAGGGACACAAGCAATTTCAAAATGAAGTCACTTTCAGTGGAAGTTGAAATGTGGGGATGATATGATAGTAACATTCGTATGAACGTGGAAAGTACGGGGTAATGATACACTCACACAAAATATTTTTTTCACTTTGCAAGTTTATCAACTCGTTATGATGATTGATGCTGCATCTAACTAATAGCTAAGAAAAAAGCCAAAACGACATGACCAAAAATCAACCAGCTTGGGAAATTGACAGTGTGAATCTTTCTTGTATTTAGAACACTTCAGATCAGTTGTCTGCGCATTATTATACACTCGATTTGAAACATAAATCTTCGTTTGATTCTCGATATACAGAAGTCTATTTAACCAAGAAGATACATAAACTTAAAAGTTTTATTAGAAGTCTATGCAACGATTATCTTTTTTTGGTCTTTGTGTAGATTGGCCATTTATTGGGTGCAAGTGTGGACGGGAGCTTCGTCGACTTTTCATAATTAAACGTCGATAGACGATAGATAGTTTAGTGTGTGATGTCAAGCAGCGAAGGGACCAACAAGTCTTTGGAGTAAGCCTTTTGTGGAATCCGGCTTTTGTGAAACCAACCAAACACAATGGGCGCCACTCGCTTGTCACCATCATTTCTTTAGTTGACCTTGACTTCCTTTTTTTTTTTTGCTTATTTTGTCCTATAACCTTTTTTGTTGGTTATTCACTTATTCTTTCTGTATAACTATTTATATATGCAAAAAAATTCTTCTTTGAAGTTTCTTTCTACTTAATTTTCTTAAGAACGTTTAATATGGTATTCGTTAAACATAAGCCACTTTCAAATGACAATACTTAGAAGTTAAAACCCTCAAATAACTTAATATCCTTTTCAGCAATCAATACTGACTTCAACTGGGTGAAGCATCCTTTAAATTAAAATATAAATGATCTGTTCATCTTTAATTTTTTTTATTAGGAGGGGGGGGGGTGGTAAACGTGATTAATTAATTTCTTTTAAAAATGAAACTAGATTATTTTGTAGAAAGTTAAACAATTTATAAGTGTAGTAATCCCATTAATCCTAACGTTCCTTCAAATTTGCTTTACACTATAAGCAGAAATTTTTGATGAAATATTCGAATAAACGTAATTTAGTTAATTTCTGCGTAGATCTTCTTTTGAAGAAAATCATTTATATTCCCTTGACAAAAACCACAGGACCATCTTTTCCATCTTTTGTTTTACAAATTATATTGCACGAAAGCTTCATCAGACATGCCTGCTTCGGAACGAAAATCAGAATCTTATGGAAGTTTGCGGAATTTCAATCCCAAAATGCTTCTAAAATATCCTATATAAAAACACATTAGAAACTTACGATTCCATTTTAGAATCACGCTTTCAATTTTAAAAACACAATATCATATATAAATAAATAAAATATGTAGTTCAAAAAAAAATATAAAATCATTTTTATTTTTGTAATATATAATAATATATATATAGTGAGAATATATATGTAAATACTAATACTATAAATCATATGTATGCACTGTTTTTATTAGATATATATATATATATATATATATATATATATTCAAATCTTGTGTGTCAATTATGCAATCATTTAAAATTATGATAAATAAATAAATGCTTTATTTTAAAATAGAATCATATAATTCTTAGATATAAATTTAAAACAATTTTCTTATATTTATACATATTTGGATATACGTTTCCAATACGTATTCGCTTTCTAATTTTTTTAAAAATCTTGATTCCACGTTTCCATACGATTCTACTTCTATGCTTCCGCTTCCGTTTCAATGTAACATAGTTTACAAATTTAGTTGCTACCAAAAATATAAATATCTTGCCTTTGTCACGATACTACTCGACGTATAATTCGTTCCTTTCATAATCGTTGTTCCAGCAATTATTTATCATAGACGTTTCAACACATATTCGACAAATATGTAACTTCAAATTTCGCCGTGAATTTGGTTTTGAATGAAGAAAGACCATATGGACTATGATAAATCATAAGCAAATCTTTTAGTCCACACAACTAAGAAGTGCCGCGAATCTGGGAAAAGAACGAGCCCAGCTTTTTCATACCTTTAACCCCTTTTGCTTTAAAATAATCTCTTTATTTCCCGTTACTTTTTATCCAAATTGCTCTCCCGCGTCAACCAAGATCCCACTTTACGTCACTTATGTGAACGTTAGAAAAATTTCTAAACTTACAATGAAAACATATGGATAAGCATTCCACGTAATCAGTGCTTATTGTTTGATTACCTAGTGGTTGAAAAGGAAAACTATTTGTGAAAAAAATTTTATATCTGTAAAGAAAAATTTGAGATCACGTTATGAGAAAAATACCATGCTTGTATCACATGAACCAAATTAATTCTAAGAACATTATCCAAAACGAAGTTAATGTTATCCAATAGATAAAGAAAATTAGTTGGACCGTCGAATGAAATGTGATCCTTCCTGATTAGTATATGACGTGTTCAATTAATTTTGCCACCAGACCACCGACCGAAACTATTATTTTGGGTAAAGTTCAATATTATGAATTATGACGTGTTCAATTTATTTATGGGAAATTATCATAAATAACATTTTCAAGATACCACTTTTCAACTTTACACTAACCAATTTTACCATTAAAATTTTAATAGTCAAAATACTATTAAAATTTAGGGTTTAGGATTTTGGGTTTAGGATTGATAGTTTAGGGTTTAGTGTTGATTTTTTAGAGTTTAAGGTTTACTTTTTAGGGTTTAGAGTTTATAGTTTAGAATTAATATTTTAGGGTTTATGATTGATTTTTAGGGTTTAAGGTTTACTTTTTAGGGTCTAGAGTTTAGAATTGATATTTTAGGTTTAGGGTTAATATTTTATTTAATTTTATTTTATATATATATAAAGAATAAAGATATAAGAGTCTATTATCCTTTAATAAAATGTTCATTTATTGATGGTAAACATTGAAGTTATCCCTTTATTTATTTAACGTTACGGTTATCTCGTTTTAAAGTATTTGTATATAAAAGGAAAATTGATAGTGAATATTTCTACGACTATTAATACACGTATGAAATGATATTAGTCAAAATATGGGTACAAATTACAGTAGAAAACAATAGTTCAGAGTAAGTACTATGGTGGACTTGCTACACGAAACTTGAATATGAATATGCTTCAGTGTTATGCTTGTACTAGGTCATAGTACTAGAAATGTTTTCTTGTTAAAGGTTTTTTCTAAAATAAAAACCGAATGGTTCAATGTATCTTTTTACTCGCAGTCTAAATGTCTTATACTCATCCACGTTTTCTACTACCCACTGGGATGTAAAAAACATGGACCATCAAGTGAATTAGAGCCGTTGAACAACATCAAGTGGGTCTTAAAAGTCAGAATTGCATTTGATTTACACTTTGACAGTCATGCGTTCATAGTCGACAATGTTATTCACACATACGCATTGCATAAGTTAGATGTGGCCAACCCACTTTTCTTTTTACCAGACTGATT